GTTACATAGCAACTTCCTAAAAGGTAATAATGATACAACTGAGGGTATTGTTTTTGGTCCGGCATCTGTTTTAAAAAAAGTCTGACCTGAGTTTATCTATTGATGGGTCATTTCAATATTTGGTCATTTCAATCTCATATAAGTTATATTAGCGAGACTGCATTCTAACAGTATATACAATATTCGCAGAGTGCCAGTATTTGACACCATTAGACCAAACATTGAATGGTTTTTACAGATGCATCTGTTGACCGGTGAGAATCTCCCAGTCATGTTCATGGTTCGCTCCACATCCGAGAGATCTCACACTACCTGCTAAAGCTGAAGAATCAGAGCACAGTGAAGACGAGCAGCGCTCTTCATCTTCGATCACAGGTCTTTATATGATCGACCGGGTGTCCCGGCTCCGGGTCACAGCGTGCCGACTGTGTGTATTTATGAGTGTGTGTGTGTGTGATAAGTGTTGTATGAGCCCCAGGCACAGGCGCCCTCAGACCTTTCGCTGCGTGATGTCCTCAAGAGGTGTGTGTGTGTGTTCTTTACCAGCTCGTTCACACAGAAGCTTCTCTCTCTCTGTGTGTGTGATCTCGGCTCTTCTGTATGCACTGCAGACCTGCACTAACTCGAGAGGATTATTTCATGACTGCACTCATCAGCTTTATTGCATTTATGAATTCTCCATCCGCTTTGGTTTCTGGGTCACGTAACGTTTGGTGTCAGATCAGCAGCTCAGGATTATGAGTCTCGGTGCTGGAAACAGGAACACATGCGCAAACAATAAACTACGTCAGTTATTCAATCATTCTCCCAGTGCTAGCGCTGATGTCGACTCCGTTTCCTTTCCAGCTGTCCTTTTCACAAGCAACTCAGTGCTTTCTGTATGGGCTATTTTCAGTTTTACTCCATCAAGTGATCCGTAAAGCCCACTATATCAGCTCATCTCAGTGAATGCGCAGTGTACTCGATGCGGAGTAAACACTACTGTAAGGTGCAGGACTTGCTGTCACTTCTCTGAGAGCGCTCAGTGTTTCTCACACACTCGATGAGAGTCTTACATGCCATGCAGAATTGAAGTGTACATGACGTCTACATGTACATTATATTATTTGTTGTTTTATTGTATTATTATTGTGTTGTTTGAGTTCATTTGGAATTCTTCATCTTTTATGAGCTAGCAGAAACTAATGCGCAAACGCAGACGTGATAATATTCATGAACCCAGCAGCTCATCAATCCTTAGTGCGGTTATATTGTTATTAGTATCAGAATTCGTCGTAGTATTAGTATGACTATTCGAGAGAATGGGAGAGGAGACGTGGAGGAGTTAATGGTTTATTTCGTTGGCTATACAAATTTAAAATGTCGCAAGAATAAGAATACGCTTCTTTAGGCTATTCCTCATTTGCATCACACAGGGAATAAATGCCGAACTCGATGCAAACCTGTTTTAAATAAATAAAACTGTTACAACATTTTATTTCAACCTTGACGTTATGTTGATGAATGTTAGTGTGTTTTTAAATTTTGTATTAGTTTTTATAAGTAAAGTAATACCATTTAGGTTGTAGGCTAGTCTTTTTTCACCTTTGTCTAGCCTAGTCCTTAAGAGTATTTTTATGATTTGTTCAATGTATGGATCTGGCATACATTGAACAAAATGATGTTCAATAACCCATCTGACAAAATTATCAAGTTAGATTATAGATCCGAGACAGAAATGTAAGGAATTCTTTGTTAAAGCGTGTTACGTTCCCCTTACCGTCTAGGGGTAACAAGGGGAAGTAACAAAAGGAAAAGCCAAAAGGAATGGGCGAGAACACACTTCAATCCTCTGTCCCAGAGTGAAGATGACACCAGACAATATAAATGTCAAAGAAAGGATTTTATTTACAAACAATATATTAGGGGGGAAAAAGGACAGAACATGAGTGCCTAGGGAGCAATGGCTCAGGGGAGAGCAAGGCCTAAAACAACAAACAAAACCGCCCACTAACTAAATTTTGGAGGAGTTCTAACTTACCTAAGAAGGGTTAAACAAAAAGAAATAAACAACAAAAACTTTCCTCAACTCCCTTACTATACAAAAAAACAGAGTCAAAACAGTATTCAAAGAAAAAGGCACTCACCCCCTACAGCTTCCCTTACAAAAGTAAATATTAAACAATAATCAAGCAAGAGTTCAAGGGCAATCAATTCCTTCTCAGTTTTTAGTGAGAACAAGATCTCTCAAATCAGGCCACAGCTAAAGTGAGTTAGCCACTGCTAACTCCCAACCACAATCTCTGAAAATCAGCAGAGCGTTATCAACAGTTCAGTCTGGATCAGGGGAGAAGTGTGCTCTCCTCTGCAAACGCTGACTGCACCCTTATACTCTCCGTCTCAGGTAGATTCACAAATGAGTGTCAGGTGCTGATGATTAGGCCTGAGAGCGAGTAGAGAGAGAGAGGCAGCAAGCAAACAACACAGGGAACACGACCACGCCCACTCTTTCAGAAACAGAGGAAATCAAAAAGGTTCAAAGAAAAAACTAAATCAATAATATAAACAAATAAATAAATGAATGAATACGTCCTGGGACGTAACAAAGGGATATTTCACCTCTGGAAAGATGAATGTGTATTTAAAATGGGTCATTTAATTAGAAGAAATGTGAAGTTTTTTTGAATTTGGAGCTTTCTGAGAAAAACCAGAAAATGTATTTTTTTATCCAGCAAAAGGTTAATCCTGGACATCGACGGCCGGACATGTCTGGGAAAAAGAGGACGGTAACCCCTACTACTCGGCTTTCTCCACAGAGCAAGAGCCTGCTAGCTTAGCTTCCAAAACAAGATGGCCGACACTATGTGTTCATTCTGTGAGTGAGATCGCCCTCTATGGGCGGGTTGAGGACATGCGGGACAGACCCGACTACTGACTGGAGTCTTTCGCCTCTGGACAAAACATCCTCCGATGATACAAAGCTTAATGCTAAATCCCGAAGTATCCCTATAAGATCCCATTAGTTACTGTTACTCTTATAAATTATAAAGTTGAAGTTCACCAAGTATTTGATTATTCCATTTCTCCTGATTACTATTTTATGAAATGGAAATATGTGCATGACCTAGAATTCCCAGCATTTCCAGAACCGGTGAGATGTGTGTTGTGTGTGTGGGTAAACGACAGATCCTAACCTGACCTACTGCTATCCTCTCTGCTCTCCTGAAGCAGCTCATGTGGAGTTAATGTGGGGTCAGTCGGACCCGGTTCAGGAGCACAACTCTTTAATATTCCCCTTATGAAGAGCAGGTCCTTGACTAGTCCTGTGCAGGACGTCTGCTTTAGGCCACTCAAGGCATGTAGTCGGGTAACTATTATGAAAGACTTGGATTTGAGAACATGGATATCAGAAAAAAATATATTTTCACATAATTTGACATTGCCTTTTGTTTAAAAACAATATAATGTATAATTCGTTTATAAATGTGACATGTCCTGACAAAATGAGTGTGAATGCTACAGGCAAAACAAGCCAAAAATGCCCATTCTGAGGTTTTCACAAGTTCATTAGGCACTTGTCTACAGCGCTAGAAGTCTCTTTATTTGTGTTTTCCCTGAGGAGAACCTTTGTTCATCTTTAAAGGATGCACTCACACTGACGGACAGATCGACTCTCAGACCAAACACAGAATTACAGTATTTCTGGATCTGTGTTGAAGACCCAGATAGCAGACTGACATTGAATCAACGTGGAAACGTGACATCGAAACAACGTTAATCTGACATTGTTTTGCTCATCGAATTAATGTTGAACCAACGTCAGACGCGTCATTCTTTCAAAACTAACGGAAAATCAACTTGAAATCAACGCGTTGTTTCAACGTTGTGAAAGCAAACCAATTTTCGATTTTCATTTAGCTTTGAAGAATGCCGTGTCTGACGTTGGTTCAACGTTAATTCGATGAGCAAAATCAACGTTGTTTCAATGTCATGAGAGACGTCGTTTCCACGTTGATTCAATGTCAGTTTGCTGTCTGGGATATTAGCTGATAAAACTGCTAGCATCAACAAACCATGTCTGTAGTCACTAAAGAATTGAGCATCTCAAAGTTGATGAACACTGCGGCTTTCCCAGACGTCTATGAACACACACAGCATGTGGTTTACTCCAAACTCACCGTCACAAACATGCAGTTTAACAGTCACATAACCATCAAAACCACCGTCGTGGTTAGAGAAGCACATCCACTGCTCACTGCGTATACACTCGTCTATTCAGTGTGTGTGTGTGTGTGTGTGAACAACATCCGGGTACAGGTCGCGTCTTAATGCCATCTCTCTGCATGCTGGTAATCACACACACACACACACACCTGCTTCATTGTGGCATGTGCAGTTTAAATAGCCAATCAGCTTCCTTGTTTCTTCCAGCTTTGACTAGTGCTCACGACCAATAGGCTGCATTCGTTTTGATCTCAACCCTCTCTCTTTCTTTCTTTATTTAACAATGATGAAAATAATTTCTCAATGTGAGGTTCAGCTTAAAGGCCTGTACACACCGGGACGAATATCAGCGCGCGTTATTCGTCAGCGTTTTTCAACGCGTTTTTTGTGTTCACACCCAAGCGTTTTTCGCTGACGATGAGCCGAGTGAACATGCAAATTCATTCCCGGACACTAGATGGCGCTTAGTGTAAAACAGAAACTCCCCGGTACACAAGGTGGCGCTGCGCAACTTTTACGGTTCTGATACTCGCTTTCACCTCCGAAGAAGAGAGCAAGTATTTACGCGCACGTTTACCTATGATGTTTATTCGCTTTTCTAAATCAGAAAAAGAAAACATGGACATTTCAAGCACCAGTAGCTCCAGCGATGAGGAACTTATTGTTCTGCTGAATGAGGAAAGACGCCGATATTGGATACATCCCATAGCGACGAGAAGAGAAGAACACGGGGAGTTTCATCGACTGGTACAAGAGTTGAAAATGTTGAAAATGAGCGTTTTCGGGGGTATTTTAGAATGTCCGTCAGTGAGTTCGAAAATTTACTTCAACAACTGGCTCCCCCGCTGACAAAAGAACAGACACACTACCGTAAACCGATCGATCCAGAACAGCGTTTGGCCGCGTGTTTACGGTGAGTTCGTTTACATTGTTATTTAATGAATGTTGTAAAAACTTAAGTGAAGCGTTGTTAAAAACTAGTATTTGTCTATTTCTATTTCAGTTTTCTAAGCACTGGGGACTCGTACTGCACTATTGCGTCCAGCTTTCGACTTGGTGTGTCAACTGTGGCTTCGATAGTGAGTGAAACCTGTGATGCAATGTGGCATTGCCTCAGAGATGAACATTTGCCGGTGCCTACTGAAGAGATGTGGAGGAGTACAGCCATGAACGATGGAATTTCCCTAACTGCCATGGATGGGAAACACATTTACATCCAGGCCCCTGCAAACTCTGGTTCTCTGTACTTTAATTATAAAGGCACATTCTCCGTTGTATTGCTGGCCTTAGTTGATGCAGATTACCGCTTCCTGGTGGTTGATGTGGGGAGCTATGGCAGCAACAGTGATGGAGGCATCTTTGCTAATTCTGTGCTGGGAAAGGCACTCACAGATGGAACACTGAATGTCCCCCACCAAGTGAACTTCCAGGTGCTCCTGAGCTGGGAAAAGTTAACCCTGTCATTGTGGCGGATGAAGCTTTTCCCCTGAAACCATATCTCCTCCGGCCACACCCTGGACGCCGCCTCCCCACAGACAAGAGAATGTTCAATTATCGGTTGTCTCGGGCACGGCGCATCTCTGAAAATGTGTTTGGCATACTCAGTCAACGCTTCCGGGTTTTCCGAAGAACTTTGCAGGTTCAACCAAGTGTTGTTGACCAAGTTGTAAAAGCTGCTTGTGTTTTGTGCCCGAAAGGAAACGGCCAGAATCATCCCGCAGAGGATGACCAAGACTGTGAGCAAACACTACAAGGCTTTGAACATTGCAGGGGGCAGCGGGCATCAGAACTGCACAAGGAGTACTTCAACTCACCCGCAGGAGAGGTTGCTTGGCAGTATGAGCATGTGAACCAGGGTCTGGAGAACATTTAAAATCATACTGTACATTTCAGCAATGTTGATAACTTTTCCCACTGGGAAAATCGCTAGTGTATGTGTACATTTCTGTGAACTTGAATACACTATAAAATCTTTTTGCAAAATGTAAAGTGTTTGGTCATTTATTTACAGGTAAATTTTAATTTTTGATATTGATAATGTGGATCTGTAAAACATTTTTATAATTTTCTTTAAAATCTTCTCTTTCCCTGCACAATGCTGTGCACAACATGGTTATGTTCCTGTAGATTGATAACATGCCTATAAATGCAGTGAGTCTGTAGTAAGGCACATAGCTATTTTTAACAAGAGGTCAAGATGTACAAATGTTACATTAATTTCAAGTAAGTCAAGTACACACAATGTCTTTTGAAATAAGTAAACATTTTTTTTTTTTAAATTAACTACTTGCTTTTTAAAATAACAAAATACTCAAGAGCTCACTGTTTATTTACTAATTTTGGTTAGATTCATGCTGATTTTAATGTACCATATGTCTGGCAACACAATTTCAGCAGAGGTTAGCTATACACAGAACACAAACTAATATATTGAACTAGAGTTGTGATCACATGGTGAACAAAGAACATGCAATAATATCATGTTAATGTTTAATATCATTGTCAATGCATTATAGTATAGAGGGTTTCCAAGATGCGTCATCATTCCGGAAGTCGGACATTTTGGAGGCACTAAACATCAACAGTGCCACTGAACTCAACGGACTCGCAAATTTGGCTGACTATTTCTGCTGAAAAATTGTTTTGTTTTTTCTGTGTTTTTTTTATTTAGTGTAACAATGTGTTCAGTAGTACATAAACAGTGCAATCCATGCTGTTGTTTACATCCGAGTGCCTCCATAATGGCCGCGCATCCGGAACGTGACGCTGGTGAAAACCCTCTATAGTTCACACAGCTATATATTGTAATGAACTAATGATAATACCTTCGAAATTCAGTTGATGTTGCGAGGAACTCCATGATCTTCATAAATTTCTTGTTTTTGGCAGCCTGTCCACTTCGGCAATCATCTTCGCGCTTTTTTCTGGTATATGTATCGCGCAGGCTTTTCCATTTTTGTTTTACGTCCTCCACTACAGCACACAAATGGCGATCGTCAAACATTTGTTGGAAAAACTTACAAGCATATAACAGTTATACATGAAAGACAATTAAATGAAATTCAACTCACCATCAAGGCCCATTTGCTCTGCAATACCACTCCATAGCAGTTCTCTTTTGTCGATGTTTTTGTAGTCGCTGTCGCGTTTATCATACAGCTCTTTATGCTCCGAGACCAGCAGCTCTACATTCATCTTGCCCATAGACATCTTGATTTGAAACTTCCTCGTCTTCCGGCAGTATATGGTATATAGACGGTGTTTTTCTTCTTCGCCGTGACGTTTGTGACCGTTTTGTGTTTGAGCGCCCCCAAGTTGTGTTTTACTGTAAATTCAGAAGCACCAGACACGTGAGCAAACCCGCCAATCTCGTTGGTCGGATAGGTTTTGACGCGGCGCGTCAAACCAAAAAAACGAACCCGAGGCGTTTTTTTTAAAAATGCCGCTTTTACGCGTGGCGTTTTTCGCATCGGTGTGAACACTCACATTGGCTCACACTCACAAAACTTTCATATTTATAAAACCATAAACACAATCGTCTAATATCAGCATGTCACACTGGCAGAATATTAATAAAATCTGAGAATCTTATGGTTTCCTTCCTTTTGTCCTTCAAATCCCCTGTGTGTGATTACGAGCACAGAAGGCCAGATCTGTCTCCTGACCAGCGTCACGATCATAAAGCACACACATATATCAAACATGTTGGATATTAACGCTCAGAAAGGCTGTGTGAGTGACGCAGACCGGAACGAGACGCGGTTAGCAAGCGAGCCGACGGGAGCACACCGCCTCTTCACACACACCTGTTCTCATCTCCATGAGTCTGGTGTGAACATCAGTCTGAACACTACTGTCAGCGCCGCCGTCCGCCACGCTACTGCTCTGGACAGATGTGGACCAGCCTGGGGTCGAGTCTAGTCTTCGTCAATACCCATTACACCCACCTCTCCTCGAACACCAGTCCTGCTGTTTATAACTCAATATAGAGCGGATTATCATGGAGATATCCTCGCTCATCTTAAAACACATTCATATGTAGAATGCTCAGAAAGTGCATTATATATCTGTGTGTGTGTGTGCATATATATATATATATATATGTGTGTGTGTATATATGTGAGTGTGTGTGTGTGTATATATATATATGTGTGTGTGTATATATGTGAGTGTGTATGTGTGTATATTGATAGAGTCCACATATTTATGTAAAGTTGCGTCCACACATTTGAATCCTCATATCGTGCGTCTGGATCATTCCCTGCATCAAGCGCTGTGTTTCTCTGCTGGCCCTGTACGAGCGAGAGACACACACACACACACACACAGTTCCTCCGCTGATAGTAATGGACTGAGCTGTGTTTATCAGTCCCGCCACTGCAATTTAGTGTTCAGGGACTGAGGATTGTGGGATACTGAGCTCTGTGCGAGAACGGTTTTCCTCTCTGTGCCTGAACACACACACACACACACACACAGAGAGAGAAAGAGAGAGATGAGAGCTTGAGGATTGTGGGTTATTTTCCTCTGTTTATGAACACACACACACACACACACACTGAGAGCTCAGAGCTCCTCTAGATGACAGTGGAAGTGATGCTATGATTGCTGTCTGATCTCAACAGAAAACTCAAAGGCACATCCAGCACATCTGACTGTGGTTCCTCGTGTGTGTGTGTGTGTGTGTGTGTGTGTGTGTGTGATCCGCCGGAGCGTTTCCTTCCTGGAGAGCAGCAGATGTGAGGATTCCTGACCTTAATCTGAGCTCGTGTTCAGCTCTGAGTCGCAGCGCTTCATCTGCATGCAGGACGCGTTCACACACACACATCACACACTGCATCACTGCAGGACGCGTTCACACACACACATCACACACTGCATCACTGCAGGACGCGTTCACACACACACACACACACACACACACACACATCACACACTGCATCACTGCAGGACGCGTTCACACACACACACACACACACACACACACACGCTGTATATGAGCCCTGTTTGGACCCGACGGCTCTGTCTGTGGTGCCGTCCGCTGTGAGCGCACACTGAGCGTCGGGTTTGGCGTGTGGCGTCTGTAGCGTTCGGCTAATTGTCTGATGTCAGTGTAACACACCTGTGTTTACTACAGTACAGCTGAAGCAGGAGCTGGTGCGCTGGATCATATTAATAAACTCACCTCAGCCCGACACTAATACTGCACACACCGCTGCACTGTTTATCCTTTTGGTCTTTTACTACAAACATTCACAAAACTCTAACCTCTCGTTGAGGATAAAGAAGAAAGTGTGGGAGGAAACTCATAATATGCAATAAATGTTTTCTCCAATGCATGTTGGCCACAGTTATTGACGCCTCTAGAAGTGATTCTGAGTCAAATATCCCTGAAGTATATTCGCATTTTCAGCACACCAGGGTGACCGTGTCCAGCCATGACCTCCTGTTCCACAGGAGTATAGACATGAGGAGACGTCTGCGGTCTCCCTTCTCCACTTTTGCTGAAGTCCTATTGGCTAACCCGAGACTGGAACAGCTGGCCAATAGTTGCGCAGTATGAGCTCTGATGTTTTCCCCTGGCGTTCGTCAGCCTAAGTGAGAACGTCCACAATCCAGTGAGAAGATCTCTGTTTAGAGACGGCACATCCCTCAGTGCTAGGGCTGTAACGATACCCTCGTGTCACGATTCGATACAGATCACGATACTGAACTCACGATACGATATTATTGCGATACTCCAAGACATATGTGAAAAGGTCAACAAAAAATTTACTATTGATTAAAATGCTAACTTTGATATTACAGACTGATCTCATGAAGTAGCGTGTGTATGAGACGCCAATTCGTATTTCCATTTTTGGCGTGCTATCAAGACGCATAATCGCCTTTCAGCGTGTTTATGAACGCCGTTGACTTAACGTTATATAAATATATGACTTACCTCAACCCCGTCCCTAAACCTAACCGTCACTGGGGTTAATGGCATTTATGACTGGAGATTTGACTGCGTGTTCAGACACGCGGAATGACGCGGACGTTAATGGCGTAGACATACACGCGGATAGCACAAAATGCGTGGAGATAACACGCCACCTGACTCGAAAGTGGCGTATATGTTTACGCAAAAGTCATGATGTCATGTTGGATATTACATTGTGGGTTTAAATGAATACACTTGGACTCGGTGCTTGTAACCCAAGGACAATGGTGACACCAGAATAACAATCATGATTCTGAAGCTGAAAATACTGAGTTAATTTAGACGAATATGCTTGCACTGTTTCACTGTTACTCTTTCACTTTTTACTGGTAACATCAGACATTTGCCATTATCATTCCCCCATTGCATTATTATACATTATATTCAGACTGATATCATGAAGTAGCGTGTGTATGACACGCCAATTCGTATTTCCGTTTTTGGCGTGCTATCAAGACGCATAATCGCTTTTCAGCGTGTTTATGAACGCCGTTGACTTAACGTTATTACTATATATATAAATATATGACTTACCTCAACCCTGTCCCTAAACCTACCCGTCACTGGGGTTAATGGCATTTATGACTGTTCCCTCACCATCCTAGGAGAAAAACATTTGATGGCGTGTACAGACACGTGGAATCACGCGGACGTTAATGGCGTAGACATACACGCGGATAGCTCAAAATGCGTGGAGATAACACGCCACTTGACTCGAAAGTGTATGTTTACGCAAAAGTCATGATGTCATGTTGTTATATTCAACATTATATAGTAGTTTAATGTAGTACTGACATT